CACACACACACTCCCCCACCCCCCACCCCCTGCCTCCAAGACTTGCAGGCTGGATGCTGCTTTCCAGGTTGCCAGGCTATATGTCGGCTATCAGATTGGCATTGGCCAATACGGTTGGTTAATAAGTGGCCATCCATATTGGCCAAAAAAATCCCCTAGCTCCGTGGTCTTGGATGGGAACCTATCACCAAATGATAAAAGAGGCAGACAGCTTCAGCCTGCAGCACTGATTAGCTGCATGAGGGTGGAAGGATGACTGGGGCTGTTCAGTGTTAGCTGGCAGGGGTTTAGCCTGGAGGGAGTTTGTGTTGGGCAGGAGGGTTGGGTCCAGGGTCATGCCGATTCTTGCCCTGCTGTCTTGCTGTCACAGGGCTGACCAGTTTGAGTATGTGATGTATGGGAAGGTGTACAGGATCGAGGGAGATGAGACGTCTACAGAGGCTGCCACGCGACTGTAAGTGTCTCCCCTGTGCTGCTTCCCTGTCGTTCATTGGGAATTTGGTCCTTCGTGGATGCCAGGGGGTGGGGTGGTCCATGGCCAGTCTGGTGCCCAGACAGGAAGCTTGGGGGCAGGAACACCTGATTCTGCTAGCAGTCTGTGCTGAGCTGCCCAGTACGCTGGTCTTGTGTGGGACTGCTTCCCTGAGGAGCTGGCTGGAGTCTGCCCTGGCAGCCAGCTCCCTCAGCCCATCATGAGCCAGTGCTGCTGCCTCTTAGCTAGGCTTCTAGAGCTTGGGGCTATGGTCAGCCTCCCCTGAGTTCCTGCTCTGCTGTCATCCTTCCCCTCCACCCTAGCTCTGCCTACGTGTCCTATGGAGGGCTGCTCATGCGTCTCCAGGGAGATGCCAACAACCTGCATGGCTTCGAAGTGGACTCCAGGGTGTACCTCCTCATGAAGAAACTGGCCTTCTAATGGGCAGGAGCTGAGGGACTGCGGGAGGCAGCAGGGACCTGCCTGATGCAGACAGTCTGGACAGACATGGACTTGCCAGCAAGCCCTCTGATCCGTGCCCCAGGAGTTTGGCTCCTACACGTCTCATCTGCATGTGCCTGAACTCTGCCACGCATTCCAGTCTGTGCAGCCAGCCCAGAGGCCTGCACTGCTCACATCTCTGCAGGGTTGCCATCCAGGCCAGGAGACTGCCTCTCTGCCAAGCAGGCTGCAACTTCAGCAAATGCCCCAGTCTCTAAAGAACTGCCCTTTGTAGGGGCTGGTCACATGCAGGTGAGCTCCTAGGTCCCTGCCTGCAGGTGCCAGTCACTGGAGGACTTGTCTATGGCACATGCTGCCCCCTGGCTCTCGGCCAGCTGGGAGGTTGCATTCTTGCCCCTTGGCTTCACTGCAGGCTGCAGTAGAGTCTATGCCACCCACCCAGGCAGGCCATATGCTGTATTGGCAAGGAGGGCAGCAGCTCCTGGGCCCATCCCATCTGGTTCTCTATTAAACCTGGTTTTTCAGATTTGTCCTGGCTTTTGCCTCCTGCAGAATTCCACAAGGTGTGAAGTAGGTAAGCAGCAGGACAGAGTGCGCTGGGGAATGATGGCCGTGGCCCAGCGAAAGACTGAACCCCTGCAAGCCCTGGGCTGGTGACTCTCAGGCCATGCAGTGTTCAGCTCCTGTCCCTGTTGACATGATCAGCTGTGAAATCATTAGCAACCCCTCTGTTTTGCCCAGTGTGTTCTTCTTTCTGAGCTCTGGTTCTAGGCTACCTGTGGGCCCTGGCGGGTGCTTCCATGTTGTATGCACAGGTGGAGACATCACTGCTCTCTCTCCACTATAACAGGGCGGAGGCTTAGTTCTGTCCGAGTGGACTGGAATTGTGCTGTTACTTCCACGAGGGCTTCCCAGTCACAGCAGGAGGGTATCCAAGGCACCCACTTACTGAAAGGATGGGATTTGCAACCCCCACCTGCAGCAGTCCACTGTTTCAGGGGGCACAACATGGCCACAGAACTGGCCATGTCAGAGTAGACCTGGCCTTTTCATTTCAGTGTGGGCAGGGCACTTTAGTGAAGGAGCAGCTGGAAGCAAAGCCGTCTGGGAAGGTTTGCTGCATAAATGAGGCCCCTCAGCTGAAATGCTGAGGTCTGAGTACAGGCCAGGCACAACCTCCCCTCTGCAGACTTGAGTTCCTTGGCATCAGGTGGAACATGAATGAATGACACCAAAGCCTCAATGCCAAGGCGTGGAGAATGGGGGCGCTGGAGGAGCTGCAGGCAGGGAAGGGGTTATCTTGGGAGT